TGGTTCGTTATTCCTCTGATTTTTGTTCCCAGCTCCCTAGAGCATTTGTTCTTGTGATGTTACGTTAGTTCCTGCTAGGCCCAGCGGCATGCTAGGCTCAGCGGCATGCTAGGCTCAGCGGCATGCTAGGCTCAGCGGCATGCTAGGCTCAGCGGCATGCTAGGCTCAGCGGCATGCTAGGCTCAGCGGCATGCTAGGCCCAGCGGCATGCTAGGCTCAGCGGCATGCTAGGCTCAGCGGCATGCTAGGCTCAGCGGCATGCTAGGCCCAGCGGCATGCTAGGCTCAGCGGCATGCTAGGCTCAGCGGCATGCTAGGCTCAGCGGCATGCTAGGGTCAGCGGCATGCTAGGCTCAGCGGCATGCTAGGTTCAGCGGCATGCTAGGCCCAGCGGCATGCTAGGCTCAGCGGCATGCTAGGCCCAGCGGCATGCTAGGCTCAGCGGCATGCTAGGCTCAGCGGCATGCTAGGCCCAGCGGCATGCTAGGTTCAGCGGCATGCTAGGTTCAGCGGCATGCTAGGCTCAGCGGCATGCTAGGCCCAGCGGCATGCTAGGTTCAGCGGCATGCTAGGCCCAGCGGCATGCTAGGTTCAGCGGCATGCTAGGTTCACCGGCATGCTAGGCTCAGCGGCATGCTAGGCTCAGCGGCATGCTAGGCTCAGTGGCATGCTAGGCTCAGCGGCATGCTAGGCTCAGCGGCATGCGAGGTTCACCGGCATGCTAGGCTCAGCGGCATGCTAGGTTCAGCGGCATGCTACGCTCAGCGGCATGCTAGGTTCACCGGCATGCTAGGCTCAGCGGCATGCTAGGCTCAGCGGCATGCTAGGTTCAGCGGCATGCTACGCTCAGCGGCATGCGAGGTTCACCGGCATGCTAGGCTCAGCGGCATGCTAGGTTCAGCGGCATGCTAGGCTCAGCGGCATGCTAGGCTCAGCGGCATGCTAGGTTCAGCGGCATGCTAGGCTCAGCGGCATGCTAGGCTCAGCGGCATGCTAGGCTCAGCGGCATGCTAGGCTCAGCGGCATGCTAGGTTCAGCGGCATGCTAGGCTCAGCGGCATGCTAGGCTCAGTGGCATGCGAGGTTCACCGGCATGCTAGGCTCAGCGGCATGCTAGGCTCAGCGGCATGCTAGGCTCAGCGGCATGCTAGGCTCAGTGGCATGCTAGGCCCAGCGGCATGCTAGGCTCAGCGGCATGCTAGGCTCAGCGGCATGCTAGGCTCAGCGGCATGCTAGGCTCAGCGGCATGCTAGGCTCAGCGGCATGCTAGGCTCAGCGGCATGCTAGGCTCAGCGGCATGCAAGGCTCAGCGGCATGCTAGGCTCAGCGGTGCTAGGACACAGGTCCTAGCACCGCTGTTATCGCAGTGAAGATAACAGCGGCATTAGGCGTGGTACAATTGTGCAAGATGATGGAACAGAAGGATGGAATGATAGAACAGAAATATAGAACACTGCTATATAGTGGAAATAGCAGTGCTCTCCCGTCTCTACTATGGAACAAAATAATTTGTTCCATAGTAGAGTCCTGTTGTCCCTCATCTCAGTATACATATATGAACAATTGTTCAGTATTATTTACTCATAATTGTTGGCAATTGTGCTTTTGATTAGTAATTTTGTTCTATTGTTCCATAGATTTATACATGTGTTCCATCCTTCAGCACTATTGTTCCCCCCCTCTGTAATGTTGTTCCAACACTTACTGCTGTTGTTCCATGGATTCGCTTTGCCACCATTCCTTTCCCCCCGTCCCATCCCAAATCCTTATCCTTATCCCTTCCCAGTGCTATATAGTCGCAATGGCTTAGCACTCTCTCCTGATAGTTGCCCCTTCCCTTCATCCACCCGTCCATCCACCCGTCCACCCACCCGTCCACCCACCCGTCCACTCACCCGTCCACCCACCCGTCCATCCACCCGTCCACCCACCTGTCCACCCACCCGTCCACCCACCCGTCCACCCACCCGTCCACCCACCCGTCCATCCACCCGTCCACCCACCCGTCCACCCACCCGTCCACCCACCCGTCCATCCACCCGTCCACCCACCTGTCCACCCACCCGTCCACCCACCCGTCCACCCACCCGTCCACTCTCCCAGAGTCACGCCTCAAAGTCAAATCTCCAGCACTCGCCAAAGCTTCCGTCCACCTGGTGCACAGCTGTGGCTCTGTCATCACAGTCTGTGTTACCTCTCCCCTCTCCCTCCCTCCCTCCCTCCATCCCTCCATCCCTCCATCCCTCCCTACCCCTCCTTCCCTCCCTACCCCTCCATCCCTCCATCCCTATATTTCTCCAGCTCTTATAACAACCGCTGACCGTATTTTGTGTGGATCTGTTTTATCTGTGATAACGTAAACTTGGTGTGAGTTTACGAGGTGGTGGCGTCTTTAAGAGTAAACTTGTGAAGCAGTTCAGGTGTTAAGGAGCGTGATTATAAGCGTGCCTGAGAGGCAGGGAGCCTCACCCACCTCCCACAACGCGGGATTAAGACACATGTCACAGCTTCTCTTTCTTAAACTTTTCCCTCCTTGTTTAAGCGATGTTGAAGACTCGCTTTCTCATTATCTTTGTGAAGCTCGTGTTGCTGCGGTGTGTGTGTGTTCCCTTAGTTGTATGGGCGGGGGTCGAGCTTCAGCTGTTGGGTCATCTGTCTCCCCGTCTCTTCTGCAACCAGTCGTCTATTGAGAGGTCCTGAGAACACCTAACACCCAACACCTGACGGCTCCAGCCAACACCTGACGGCTCCGGCCAACACCTGACGGCTCCGGCCAACACCTGACGACTCCGGCCAACACCTGACGGCTCCAGCCAACACTTGACAGCATCAAAGTGGCCGTGACAAGCTTGCCAACACCTCCCAACATCTGTCAAAGACACCCCCTGAAAGGGTGTCTGCGGACACAAAATATGGCACTGTGGCAAAAATATTAAAAGCAGCCACCGGAAGTTAGTGGCATAAAATATGGCAGGGGAAGTTACACAGGGGGTAAAAACCCGGGGAGGAAAGTGGACATAGATGCTGTCCTCATTAATGTTCGTGAGAGGTGGGGGGGGGGGGGGTGTTGATGTGGGGGGGGGTGATGTGGGGGGGGGTGATGTGGGGTGGGGGGGGGGGAGGTGAGGAGGGAGATGGATGACGGGAGAGAGGAGGTATAAAGACCTGCGAAGGGAAGAACATATTAATAGACTTCGAGGAGATGAAGTGAGAGATAAGAGAGAGGGGGAGAAGAGGGAGGAAGAACTCATCTCCAACACTGCCCCAACACTGCCCCAACACTGCCCCCAACACTGCCCCCAACACTGCCCCCAACACTGCCCCCAACACTGCCCCCAACACTACCCCCAACACTGCCCCCAACACTGCCCCCAACACTGCCCCCAACACTACCCCCAACACTGCCCCCAACACTGCCCCAACACTACCCCCAACACTGCCCCCAACACTGCCCCAACACTACCCCCAACACTGCCCCCAACACTGCCCCCAACACTGCCCCAACACTACCCCCCAACACTGCCCCCAACACTGCCCCAACACTACCCCCAACACTGCCCCCAACACTGCCCCCAACACTGCCCCAACACTACCCCCCAACACTGCCCCCAACACTACCCCCAACACTGCCCCAACACTACCCCCCAACACTGCCCCAACACTACCCCCACACTACCTCCAACACTGCCCCCAACACTGCCCCAACACTACCCCCCAACACTGCCCCAACACTGCCCCAACACTACCCCCAACACTACCCCCAACACTGCCCCCAACACTGCCCCAACACTGCCCCCAACACTGCCCCCAACACTGCCCCCAACACTACCCCCAACACTGCCCCCAACACTGCCCCCAACACTGCCCCCAACACTACCCCCCAACACTACCCCCCAACACTGCCCCAACACTACCACCAACACTACCCCCAACACTGCCCCCAACACTGCCCCAACACTACCCCCAACACTGCCCCCAACACTGCCCCAACACTGCCCCCAACACTGCCCCAACACTGCCCCCAACACTGCCCCAACACTACCCCCAACACTGCCCCCAACACTGCCCCAACACTGCCCCCAACACTGCCCCCAACACTACCCCCAACACTGCCCAACATTGCCCCAACACTGCCCCCAACACTGCCCCCAACACTGCCCCCAACACTGCCCAACACTGCCCCCAACACTGCCCCCAACACTGCCCCCAACACTGCCCCCAACACTGCCCCAACACTGCCCCCAACACTGCCCCAACACTGCCCCCAACACTGCCCCAACACTACCCCCCAACACTGCCCCCAACACTACCCCCAACACTGCCCCCAACACTGCCCCCAACACTGCCCCAACACTACCCCCAACACTACCCCCAACACTGCCCCCAACACTACCCCCAACACTGCCCCCAACACTGCCCCCAACACTGCTCCAACACTTGGCTAACATACCAAACTCGCTCCCAACATTCACCATTGATGTGACTGACAGCGTCAGGCAACTCTCCGTCTCCACAAATATCGTTGTATCGCAACTGTCTTATTGTCTCAGTGTTTATTTCTCCATTTTCCTTTGCTTTTCTTATTCGTTTGTTTTCCCCTTTGTTTATTCCTTATGGCGTTATATTCCTGTGTCTTATGCTTGCCCGAGTGATGTCTCCGTCACTGTGGCACTCTTTCTACTGTTGTGGTTGTTGTAGAGTCGCTACTTGGAAGAAAAAGTTCCAAGTAGCACGGGCTATGGTGAGCCCGAAGCTCTTTCTACTATGAAAGACTCTCCGGGGTCTTTGGGTCCGTGGGTCGTTGGGACCCCTTTCTCCCCCTTCCTCTGGTGGTCCCCTAAACCCCCTTGGTTATTGCAGGTGGTTGTATGATGTAAACAAACAGAAGCTGGTGTGTCGGTGTCACGGGGGAGACTCGCAGGTATTGTCAGGAGCCGCTACGTCGGTAAAGGCAGAGTCCAGGAGCTGCAACCCGGCCCTGTACTCTATAATCTTCCTCTGGTCAAGTGGGGAAGGTATGCAAAGTTTGGTTTAATTGTGTCCATGCTTCACTTATTGTTGGCAACACGATGTGGCATCTTCCGTTGCCACATCTGTCACCATTGTTGCCACGTCTGTCATAGTCGTTGCCACATCTGTCACCATTGTTGCCACGTCTGTCATAGTCGTTGCCACGTCTGTCATAGTCGTTGCCACGTCTGTCACAGTCGTTGCCACATCTATCATCATTGTTGCCACGTTTGTCACGATTGTTGCCACGTCTGTCACAGTCGATGCCACATCTGTCACCATCGTTGCCACATCTATCATCATTGTTGCCACGTTTGTCACGATTGTTGCCACGTCTGTCACAGTCGATGCCACATTTGTCACAGTCGTTGCCTGAGCAGCCACCGTTGTTGCCACATGTGCTCGAATTGTTGCCATGTCCCCGCCCTGCTCTACATCGTTCAGAGGTTTTTCTTGTTTTAGCAATAGGAGCGGCCGACCCTTGTTGGACGCTACCTTGCGCGTTGTGTGATGTGTGTTTCACTGCTTTCTTTATTGCTGGCACTGTACTCACCTAGTTGTGCTTGCGGGGGTTGAGCTTTGGCTCTTTCCACCCGCCTCTCAACTGTCAATCAACGGTTACTAACTACTATTTCCAGGCCCCCACCCCCACCCCCCCCCCACCCCCACACACAGGAAGCAGCTCCGTAACAGCTGTCTAATTCCCAGGTACCTATTCATTGCTAGGTAACAGGGGGCATTCAGGGTGAAAGAAACTTTACCCATTTGTTTCTGCCTGGCCCGGGAATCAAACCCGGGGCCACAGAATTAGGAGTCCTGCTTACTGTCCACTCAGCTATCAGACCCTGTGTGCGTGTGTGTGTATGTGTATATCTCCATATATTTTAAGACTGTATGGAGTCAGCCTCCATCACATCACTTCATACTGCATTCCATTTGTTAACCTGATATTGAACAAATTATTTATAATGTCTCTGTGGTTCATGTGGGTACTCAATTTCTATCCGTGTTTCTTTGTTCAAGTGCCACCCGTGTTAAATGGTCTGTATTTATCTACCCTATAAATTTTCATGGGAATTTTGTATGTGGTAATCATGTCTCCCCAAGCTCCTCTATCTTCCAGCGACGCGAGGTTTAATTCACGTAGCCTTGTTTTGTAACTCATACCTCTTAGTTCTGGGACAAGTCTGGTGGCACTGAACCTTCTCCAACTTCGTCTTGTACTTGACTAGTTATGGACACCACGATGGAACACACTCCAGCACTGGTCTGATATACGTGGTATACAAGAGTCTAAATGATTGTTTACACAAGTTCTAAAAGCTGTTCTGAAGGTAGCCAGCTTCCACTGATGATATCCTTTTGATGTGGGCTTCAGAAGACAGGTTCGGTGTGATATCAACTCCTAGATCCTTCTCTCTGTTCGTTTCATGGAGGACTTCGTCTCCCATTTGGTACCTTGTGTCTGGCTTCCTGCTCCTCCATTTAGCTTCATTAATTTACATTTATTTGAGTTTACCTGTGTGTGTGTGTGTGTGTGTGTGTGTGTGTGTGTGTGTGTGTGTGTGTGTGTGTGTGTGTGTGTGTGTGTGTGTGTGTGTGTGTGTGTGTGTGTGTGTGTATTTGCCTAGTTGTGTTTGCGGAGGTTGAATTCTGGCTCTTTCGGTCCGCCTCTCAACTGTCAATCAATCGACTGATTTTTTCCACCCTCACACAGGAAGCATCCCGTAGCAGCTGTCTAACTCCCAGGTACTATTTACAGCTGGGTAACAGAGGCATCAAGGTGAAAGAAACTCTGCCCATTTGTTTCCGTCATCGCCGGGGATCAATTCCCGTTCCCTAGGACAACGACTCCCGAGCGCTGTCCACTCAGTTACCAGGCCCCCCCTCCCATTGGTGTGTACTCACCTAATTGTACTCACCTAATTGTGCTTGCGGGGGTTGAGCTCTGGCTCTTTGGTCCCGCCTCTCGACCGTCAATCAACTGGTGTACAGATTCCTGAGCCTATTGGGCTCTATCATATCTACATTTGAAACTGTGTATGGAGTCAGCCTCCACCACATCACTTCCTAATGCATTCCATTTACTAACTACTCTGACACTGAAAAAGTTCTTTCTAACGTCTCTGTGGCTCATTTTGGGTACTCAGCTTCCACCTGTGTCCCCTTGTTCGCGTCCCACCAGTGTTGAATAGTTCATCCTTGTTTACCCGGTCGATTCCCCTGAGGATTTTGTAGGTTGTGATCATGTCCCCCCTTACTCTTCTGTCTTCCAGTGTCGTAAGGTGCATTTCCCGCAGCCTTTCCTCATAACTCATGCCTCTTAGTTCTGGGACTAGTCTAGTAGCATACCTTTGGATTTTTTCCAGCTTCGTCTTGTGCTTGACAAGGTACGGGCTCCATGCTGGGGCCGCATACTCCAGGATTGGTCTTACATATGTGGTGTACAAGATTCTGAATGATTCCTTACACAGGTTCCTGAACGCCGTTCTGATGTTAGCCAGCCTCGCATATGCCGCAGACGTTATTCTCTTTATGTGGGCTTCAGGAGACAGGTTTGGTGTGATATCAACTCCTAGATCTTTCTCTCTGTCTGTTTCATTAAGTACTTCATCTCCTATTCTGTATCCTGTGCCTGGCCTCCTGTTTCCACTGCCTAGTTTCATTACTTTGCATTTACTCGGGTTGAACTTCAACAGCCATTTGTTGGACCATTCACTCAGTCTATCCAGGTCATCTTGTAGCCTCCTACTATCGTCCTCTGTTTCAATCCTCCTCATAATTTTTGCATCGTCGGCAAACATTGAGAGGAACGAATCTATACCCTCTGGGAGATCATTTACATATACCAGAAACAGTATAGGTCCAAGGACTGACCCCTGCGGGACTCCACTTGTGACGTCTCGCCAATCTGAGACCTCACCCCTCACACAGACTCGTTGTCTCCTGTTGCTTAGGTACTCCTCTATCCACCGGAGTACCTTCCCTCTCACTCCAGCCTGCATCTCCAACTTTCGCACTAGCCTCTTGTGTGGCACTGTATCAAAGGCTTTCTGACAATCCAAAAATATGCAGTCTGCCCACCCTTCTCTTTCTTGCCTTATTTTTGTTGCCTGGTCGTAGAATTCAAGTAACCCTGTGAGGCAGGACCTGCCATCCCTGAACCCATGTTGATGCTGTGTTACAAAGTTCCTTCGCTCCAGATGCTCCACTAGTTTTTTTCGCACAATTTTCTCCATCAGCTTGCATGGTATGCAGGTTAGGGACACTGGCCTGTAGTTCAGTGCCTCCTGTCTATCCCCTTTCTTGTATATCGGGACTACGTTAGCTGCTTTCCAAATATCTGGCAGTTCCCCTGTTGCCAGTGATTTGTTATACACTATGGAGAGTGGTAGGCACAGTTCTCTTGCTTCTTCCTTTAGAACCCAAGGGGAGATTCCATCTGGGCCTATAGCCTTCGTCACGTCCAACTCTAGTAAACACTTCCTTACTTCCCCACTGGTAATCTCAAACTCTTCCAGTGGTTCCTGGTTAGCTATTCCCTCACTTACCTCTGGAATTTCTCCTTGCTCTAAGGTGAAGACCTCCTGGAATTTCTTATTCAATTCCTCACATACTTCCTTGTCATTTGTAGTGAATCCTTCCGCCCCTATCCTTAATCTCATAACCTGTTCCTTTACTGTTGTTTTTCTCCTAATGTGGCTATGCAACAATTTAGGCTGAGTCTTTGCCTTGCTTGCGATGTCATTTTCGTATTGTCTTTCTGCCTCTCTTCTCATCCTGACATATTCATTCCTGGCATTCTGGTATCTTTCTCTGCTCTCCAGTGTCCTGTTATTCCTATAGTTTCTCCATGCCCTTTTACTTTGCTGCTTAGCTAGCCTACATCTCTGATTAAACCATGGGTTTCTCATCTTCATTTCTCTGTTTTCCTTTTGGACTGGGACAAACTTGTTTGCTGCGTCCTTGCACTTCTGCGTGATGTAATCCATCATATCTTGGGCCGTCTTTCCCCTGAGCTCTGTTTCCCATGCTATATCTGTTAGGAATTTTCTTATCCCCTCATAGTTTCCCTTTCGGTATGCTAACCTTTTGGTTTCTGTATCCATCCTCGAGTTCAATAACCCTTCTTCAATCAAGTACTCAAACACCAGTACACTGTGGTCGCTCATTCCTACTGGGTCCTCAAAACCGATTTCTCTTATGTCGGAGTCGTTCAGAGTGAAGACTAGGTCGAGTCTCGCTGGTTCGTCATTGCCTCTCATCCTTGTGGGTTCTCGTGTGTGTGCGCGTGTGCGTGCGCGTGTGTGTGTCTGCAGGTTTGCTAAGGTAGACGTGGTGTAGTTGGACTCCTCTCTGGCCTGCTTGATACAATCCGTGTATTTCCACGTGTATTTGCGTGTTCCTGCGTGTATTTTATTGTATTGTTCTGTGAAGTTCATTATACAATTGGCATCAAGACCGTTCCTCTCAGCCGGTGGCGTGTTTATGAACGCTCACAGTCGAGCAGTTGTGGCTGGTCCTCGTGGTGTGTGTTATCATAGTGGGCTTCGTGGTGTATGTTACAAAATACAAAACCCTGTTTTCCTTACAAACATCTTTTTTTGCATTCAGGTTAAAAATAAACCTTCACTGTGTTTCTAGTAACCTTTTACAGCGTCGTGTGTGGCTATCATATCCCTCCCCTTCCGTATGTCTTCACATTGGACGGTATTCAGAGCAATGGATGTTTCCGTATATATCTTGTGTCCGCCAGCGGGTTAGTGACTTACGGGCTATTCATGCCCGTGCCACCTCTTGGGTGGCAGGCGTCCCGGGCGAGTAAGACAGTGTCAGCCGTGTTCGTAATATATCACAGCTGGTCTTTGGTAAAACCTGGTGCCAGTAAATCACTGCAGTATCGGTATAACCAGCCCTCTCTTGCCCCTATAATAATTTGGTGAACCCGACGGATGGACACGCAAGAATTATCATAAATCTGTCACTCCATAACTGGGGGTGAGGAGCCTGGTGAGCCTGTGGCGGCGGCCGTCGCCTGCCTGAAGGTTCACGAACACGTAGTTTGTGTGTGTGCTGCAGCCAATATGGAACCCCTGGCGCACCTCCACCAGACGTAGCCCCGCCAGACGCAGCCCCGCCAGACGTAGCCCGGCCAGACGTAGCCCGGCCAGACGTAGCCCGGCCAGACGTAGCCCGGCCAGACGTAGCCTGCTACGCTTGTAGTACCTCTGACGAACCTCCGGCAGGCTTCTCCCTTCCATCAGGCTCATAAGAACAAACGCTTCATAATGGTGCCATATTCTCTGCCTAACGGAACATGGAATTATTAATTTAAGAAAAAGAGCAGGTCAGTAATTAAATTGTAATTTTGCGAGTGAGTGATTCAATACACGCACTCGCTCGCTACCTGGACAGCGATCAAGTGCACATTTTGTGTGTACTTGACAGTCAAATATGGACTGTGTAAGGCTGCCTTCACCTCCACAAGTGTGCAG